AGCAACCGGAACAATAAGACGAAGACTAGTGACAAGACCACCAAACAGTCCACCGACAATTGCAACAATATAAATGCGATCCATTCGCTTTACAATTCTGTATGTACAGGTAGCAGGAGCACAACTATCATAGTAGCCATCAAAGTTTGAGCTCATTTTCCACTCGTCAATCATCAGCCGATTAAAAATGGTAGCAAGTGTATCTTCCAGTAAAAACCGAGACAAAGCTGAACTATCCAAAGGTTTGATATTAAGGGTAGCTAAAGGTAGTGGCAGTCGTTTGGACATATCAACATTGAACATGGAGAGAAGAATATTCAAACACGTCTGATTGAAGAAGCAGCGTAAATCAGAATTCAAGACTGATTCAAAACGATTGCATGACTTGACTAGGCCAGGTACCCTCCAGACCACTGTATCCGCTGTGCAGTTGTCACCATACTGACACAAAAACTGACCTCCAGACCATGAAGGATCAGGACAATCAAATGCGACACTACAGGCGCAGACGTTTAATGCAGGAGGAGCAGGAGAGTATCGTCGCAACAAAGGCTTGCCATCCACTACTAATGGTTGAAAACGCATACCATTCTGAAATCCACTCGCACCAATTAATTTTCGAATGATCGACACATCCATCATCGTATATAGCATTGAGTCCGTCAGGTATTCGGGAGTTATGGATTCTATACGTGCTTCAAATTCGCTTCCTTAACACATGAGAATAAAATAGCCATTAGAATCAAACCAAAAGATTTAGAATATCTAGCATGTTTTCATGACCTTACTACTTTCTATCATCTAACATGAAAGTAGAAAGAAATATCTTGAATGAGTTAGAAAAATGAATCATAACAAGTAGAAGATATCAGTGAAGAATACATTCAGTTCTTTCAAACTATAATTGAAAGAATATAAGTTAGAGTTTTCAAGTTTTTTTTCAAGGAAAAGAGGACGAAGTATTGATTCTATGAAAACCAATTCATTGCGAAAATTGTGTCGAGTCAACAAACTCGCTAAAGCAATCGTTGGAACTTTATAAAAAGTTTCAAATATAAATAAATGTAGCAAAAGTCAATCACTGTCATATGTGTACAACACAATACAACATATATGCCATTTGACAGATGGATTTCGTATGAATCTCCTTCCGACTTGACTGGAGCGATCGCCAAAATATTTTTTTTTGCAAAAAAAAATCTTGATATTCCTCTTATGAGACTAATATATCTCCAAAAGTATTGTTGAGCTTCATCAAGATGGCACATCATTCAAGAGTAATAACTATTTATCAACAGAGTAAGTCGTTATTGTATTTTCCTGGGATAACGATGATCTCAATGCTACCCGCTTGGTGAAGACCACTACCCATATCATCTAATATCGAATCGCTGAAATTCAAGAACAAAGAAGAGCTGGGAAACTCAGACGTGTTTCACATAAAACTCAACTCAATCTAAGTACTGTACGGATGGAATATGCATAAAGTCGTCTACTAATTGTCGAATAGCATCGACTCCAAACTATTGAAAACATTTGAAATCGGTATTCGATACACTTGTCGAAAAAGAAAAACTCTGGAATAAGAGTGAAGACATATGTGAAAAAACTATTTTACTTACGAGAAAGTGTATTTGTGCTGATAAACTCATTCGTAACAAATAGAGTTTGAATATCACTGAACAAGATTTGAGCGTAAAAGCAGAGGAATATAATGCCATAGAAGAAGGTGAACCCAGCAACGCGAAAGTCATCGTTCGAAATATTGCGCCTATCTGATTCATTAGCGACTCGGACCGTGAAGAAGCCATCGAGCCAAATGGGACGCAAAAAGTCACTTGTGCAAATCTGTAAATGAAAAATAAGGATTATGCATATGTATATAGATGCGAATGAAGATGGCTTGAATTGCCAATGTTGATTTCTTTTCCTCAGTAAAAACAAAAAGTGTAGTTTTCTCACTGATTGAAAAATATTTTGTAAACGATATTTGGGATCAAAGTTAATCTAAATAACTATTCTCTAGACAAAATAATCTGGGATCTAGAAAGTTACAAGTAAAGTTCATTGGATGGCAATTCATTTGTCCCTAGACTGAAAGATGAGGAAATTTCTTGTTAGCAAATATATATTTTATGATGATCAAAGTAAATTTGCACTGCTTGTTCATTCACAGTAGAAAGCTTTCAGCGCAATCCCTATAGGATTAATATGTAAAGCACGATGAACATATTTCACATGATGATGAAGATGCTTTTATATTCAACTCGATGTATTGCAAAGTTACGAGAGAATCATCTCTGAGCGCTTACAGCGGTCTGTAATAGTGGCTAATATACCGCATTAGGGAAGAAAAATCGGTTTTTCGAACTTCAGAATTTCAAATCGATTCGAAATCAAAAAGTCTAGAAGCCCAAGTGTCGAAAATCGAAAACTCGTAAACCAGAATTTCACACGCCGAAAAACTATCATAAAATGTATCATGTCTGTTACGGTCTGCGGAGGTAGGAGGGTCCAATTTTCTAGCTATACACTTCAACTCTCATATTCAATCGTGTCTCACAATACAGCGATGTCATTGTGACAAGTAGAATGATTTGATCTCTGTATTATGCTATATTTCATCAATTGTGATCCAAATAGTGTTAACGCCATCTCCGTGGGATTAGAAAGTGACATGATGAGACAATTTTAGACATGAAGAATATCAATTGTGTTTTATATTTCAGTCTACTGTTACAATTGCAAGAAGAATAATATTAAAAAAAACATGAGTTGTACAAAATGAGGTATAGCATGAATTTATTAAGTGTTTCATTCAACTGTGATAAACGCTTCAGTCTTCACTCATGATTATAACTAACCCTATACGTGAAACGAAAAGAGAATTCTAACTATATGCTTCTACTAAGTAGATATCGGTGTCCAATATGGATTAATTTTCTGTGAATCGACCCGACTTGAGAACAACTCTTTTTCAACAAGCAAGACAAACTAGATTATGAATTCAATCTAATCAATTGGAGATAAAATTCGTTTCAACAAGAAATCTTTGATTGAGTTTAGATAAAAAAGTTTCAAATGACGCTTTCTAATACTAAAATCTAGTATCCTATTGAGCACTGCTTTGACTTTTAATAAATGTATGATGAGCTCGAAAATCGATATGACATTTCTCACCGGATGGTATCGTGGAGGTGAAGTGAAGAATATTTTGTCGTAAGTTACTCTCTGTTGTGAACATGGACATATAAGTGTTGTTAGATAAGTGCTGTGAAGTCTTTCGAAAGTTGCCAAAGATGGATTTGATATTGTCACTGAACGTGTATTGATGGTTGATGATGAGTAGATCATGAGTGTCGTAATACCGACTACCACTAGAATCATATAGATGCGTGTCGCATGAATACCAAGTACTTGATCACTCAAATCATCCTTAAACAGAAACAAATTGTATTGAGATTTCAACAGTTTTTGTCTTTGTGAAACACTATCCAAAGGAGTATGAAAGTATGTAGAGTAGATATTTGGATCCACCCTCTCCTCTCCCTACTGACTATGATGGATACTTCTTAGAAACCAGCAAAGATTGTAATATGTACCGTCCACGAACCATCATAGACTGTGACAGACACTCTCCAGAGACCATCACAGATTGTAACAGACACTGTTGATTCGCGATCATAGACCGTATATCAATGAAGTCTCGTTTTAATATTTGAACTACTTCCTTATTGTATCTCTGGAGGATTAAGTACAAAAAAGGTGAAGAAATGTGTCCCAAGATCTGTGGAATAAAACAATCTCTTAATGATTAGCAACAGCTACATCGTATTTCACATTTTAATCCGTCAGAGATTGCCCTAATAGCTTTAGTCATTTAGATCATGAATGCATCAAATTTTCATTTCCATGATACATAGGTGAGACACAGTCCTAGAAGTTACTATAACTGAAGTCAACATAGTTTGGAAAAGCTTGTTAACTCTGTCTCTTTGGGACTGAAATGTAAAATTTACATATGTTATTTAGTCTCAATAAACTAAGACAAAGTAGGTGAAGTGAAAAATCTGTCATAGACTATAGTTCTGTTCCAACGTAATCGATCAGCAAAGTAAAGATTTGTCTTATTTATTTCCGCATTTTGAACAGAATTTTTTCTTTTTTTGTTTCGCACGCTCTAGTTTTTGTTTGCATTACTACTATTCGCTAATTATTTTTCTTTTCTTATTTGGTTTTTCTTAATATAACATTATGAATATTCTAAGAATAGAATTTAATGGTAAATAAGCCTGTTGTACATATCCATCTAATCTACGGTAGTAGCTCTTAACGTATTACTATACATCTCGATCAACTCACAGACACTGGTATTAATTATTATCCAAAATTCTAACTTGATTAATTCATACTTTTTATGTTGATTATATGATGACTAGCAAATCAATGTATCGTTACTCGTCATCGTTGACATCTTGAATATAACCTTTTATCTGTACAAAACTCAAAAACTGCACTATTTAAAGCATTGACAAATGTATTTCAACCATTCAAATTTCGATGAAGACTGTAGAATTTTCTAGAACAGTCAAACTCATGTTGTTAATTCTGTTTAGCTCCTTTTTCTTCGACTACTATTGTCTGTAATTGAGAAGGAGGAAGTTATAAAGTCTTTGATTGGAGGACGACATGTTAATGTCTGTAAAACGAAAGAGGAGCCACAAAATTTTGACTTAAAATATACACTCACTATTTTCTTCGAAAGTATATGTGAGTTCCATAAAACAAGTCTTGCAAGTAACCATAGATGAAAACATAATTTCTGTACCATTGATCGGAAACTGTATTCTATTTCCCATCTAACTTCTTTTTCAAAAATAAATAAATATAAAACAGAACAACAACGACCGAGTCTGGTTAGAATATTCTACTAACATAAATCGTCATTCAAGGCAGAAAACTTCAACAAGGATCAAGACTTCACGATACATACATGATGAATGGCACATTTCCTACAACTTCGAACTAAATTACTGGACATGAGTACTTTCTGAGAAAATACAATTAATTCACATCACTCATTC